TCTCTCTCTCTCTCTCTCTCTCTCTCTCTCTCTCTCTCTTTGCTTGCACTCTCTCTTGTGCGCGCGTGTATTCACATATCATGGCCACTTTCTTTCTTTCTTTCTTTCTTTCTTTTTTTCTTTTTTTTTGGCTTGCGCATCAGCGATCAGCGCACCGCACACATGCGCCGCAAGTATGGTATATACGCTTTTGCAAACTACTGCATTTGGCAAGTACTCAATCTCTCTGTCTGCCAAATATGCTGAGAATGATAGTTGAGTTGACTGCGCAAGGAAAGGAAAAGAAAGAAAAACAAAAGGGTGTTGAATGAGCAGTGCTCTCATTCCCTTCTCCATTCACATGGCTTATTGGCCTCCATGGATGCGCGGGTTTTCTGTGATCCGTCTTTGACTATTTTGGCATTTTCTGCTGCACAATTACAGGTTGGCATCTGGGTGTCTGGGGTCGTCAACGAAAAAGACCCATTTGTATGGTCTTGCTGCGTTCGATACGCTGTCTGCTCGAAGCCAAAAAACAAAGTAAGTGATGATGTATTTCGCTCTAAGCGATCGTGCATCTCGTTCTTGCGAATCTTTTTCGGTTTTCCATCTCAGCTCTTGCCAAAGAACAAAGCACACATTGCTGCCTGCCGAAGGACAAAACCGAGTGCACTTTTGCCTCACACTTTCACGCTGTGTTTTTTCTTTTGATTTTTTTTTTTTTGGTTGTTTGCTAGTATGGAGTCGACTCTATGGACTGCTGCCAAGTCTTGTTAAAAACGCCTTTGGGTTTTCTTATAAATAGCTTTGAAAAAACGCTGAAATTTTGGGTCTCCGTTAATCAGCTCTCGGCGAACGATTGTGCAAGGAAGGGAGTGGCAATTTATCTTCCTTTTCATCTTTTCTGCAATCAGACTCGTTCTCAAACACACTTTTCATGCATGTAAACAGCAACGCAGCATACTGGCGACATGCGCCCACTCAAAACTCAGAGATATGGCTTTCAGATACGAGTTCACTCTCAATTAGCTATGGCGACTTCAGCGCCCACACATCTCACTGTTCACATACACTGGATCACCCTGGATATCCCACACGCATCACTCTAACACTCGAACACTCACACACACTCACTACTAACTACAGCTATGGCAGCTTTCGCTGCATCTAACCTATCACTAGACTAACTCCCTCTCTCTTGCCCACTGCGTCCTCCGGGCTCATCTGCAGACCTCCTTGCACAAGTCGCTGTGGCAGCGCTTCCGCATGGCTCACGCAGGAATGAATGAATGGCTGGGCGCTGCCTCTTGATTTATACTTCAGAAACTCGTTGGTCTGCCCTTTGCCATCGGCCCTTGGTGCTYACAGTCCCCCTGTGGTACTTGCTGGACCGGACTGGGACTGACTGGACCTTCCGCTGACTGACTGTGGACTTACCGCTATCCTACTGCTGTTGCACTGCGGTTTAGTCCACCACTTGCCTCTCCGCTTGACCACTTGCCCACTTGCCTACCTTCTAGAAGGTCTACAGCTAAGCTTCCGGAACTCACTAAGACTCCTACGCTATAGTCCTACAGATCGAACCCCTGCTGCCTATGGACCTACGACAGGCCTACCAACTGCCTACGAATACACAGGTCACAGGTTCAATTCTCGGGGTCTACACAGATACTGTACATGGGTAGGGTGAGGTCTAGGGATCGAACCCTGGGTACTGCATCCGCCACTGCTAAAAGGTGAAAACCGTTTCATTTCTGCCGGCGTTCCCCCCCCTCCCTTTCCCGGGTTTCCCCCTAATAATTTTGAGCTTGTCTCGATCACTGCGTGGCATCCTTGAAAGCGCAGGGGCCATGCTAATGTTCTCTGTATCGTTCCAACGGATGCCCAAAAGACGGTTTTTTTGCCAGCTTAACTTTGTGGGTAGTAGTCTTTTTGTTGTTGTGTTCAGCATGCATGCTGTACTGGGAACGTGGAGTTGAGCCTTGTGTTGTTCTATCGGAATACATGCGCAGATGCCTCTAATACTTCAGGGGTGTAGAAACTGAGCTAGGCCAGTTGCAGCCCCATGTATTATGGTATCAATGGGGCACCCAACCCATGTGGCTGGAAGGTACACACATGTAACAGTTAGTTAACAGATCATGAGGTCGAATCCCGATGGAATCAGGTGAATACAATAACGTTAGGGTCTACCCCCCCTCCCCTCTCTTCCCCAACCCCCCGCCCTAAAAAAAAGATAAGGTGCTGTGATCCTCTCCAAGACTCCAAGTCATGATGCAAGATTCACTGCTGAGACCGTGCCATTCATGACAATTCAAGAAGAAGGGGAATGAGAAGAAGAGGGGAGAAGAATGAAGAGAAGAAGAGGAAGACGAAGAAGGGTGCAAGATTGAACCAATGTCCTCTCCCTCCTCATCTCGCCTCCATCATTATCCCTCACATAATATCCTCCTCTTATTACGCAATTTAGTAACAAATAATGAATGAACGAAGAAGGAATCATTATCCGATAGATCTCCATAACTGTCATAGATCTCCATAACTGTCAGGACAGAAAGAACTCTCCTTTAGCTCTCCTCTCCCTCTCCTCTCTCCCTCTCCTCTCTCCCCCTACTCTCTCTCTCGCTCCCTCTCCTCTCTCCCTCTCCTCTCTCCCTCTCCTCTCTCCCTCTCCTCTCTCCCTCTCCTCTCTCCCTCCCCTCTTTCCTTCTCCTCTCTTTCTCTCCTCTCTCCTCTCTCCCTCTCCTCTCCCTCTCCTCTCTCTCTCCTCTCTCTCTCTCCTCTCTCCCTGTCCTCTCCCTCTCCTCTTGGTAGTGCTATTGGCTATGGCAGCTCATCACAGCTTGGATGGGATGAGTAGATGACATCACATTACTACTTTGCCTCTCAGCTGCCATTCCTAGCTCATGGATGAAGTTGATGTCCAACCGATACCGCAACATGGGTCTTCTTGTTGCAGCACTAACCAAGGGAGTGAAGATGAAGGTTCACCATAGCCAAGCCGTCCTGTCGGTTCTCTTCTCCTTCTTCCTCGTCCTCCTTTCTTCTTGGTATGCACCCGATCTCTTATCCCAATGCGGGCTATGGTATCCTACGCCATAGCTAAGCCGTTCTCCTTCTTCACCACCTCCACCTCCATAGCCATGGTGGGCTTCTTACCCCCTGGCTCTTCCTGCTCGGCCACTTTGGGCCCTTGCCGGAGCAGCAGCATGACTGCTGGGGTGAACGCCCAGAGTACTCGTCGGACGGAATGATATACTCCTGCCTCTCGGCCTCTTGACTCCTCGCCTGGGTACTCCCCGGGGTGCTACCAGTGGCTGTAGGCCTACTGGTTTACCTCCAATTTGGCAGGGACATCATTGCTGAGTTGGCTGGCTGTTATCTTCCCTTGCAGACCCATACTTGGACATATACTGGTTGTTTAACGAAAATGTACTCGAATGCTTTTTCGGCTTCTCCGATAGGACATTCATTTTTTTTTTTGGAGTTGAGATAAGCACTGTTTGTATTTGGGAAAGGTGCTGCAGGAGAAAGAGCCTTTCATGCGGTCCCGGCCATTGTTTATTACACTGAGCTCTCTGTAAGCAAGCACTGCATATCTTGGGATGGTAGTTGGATGTGGTCATTCGCAGGAGCACAGGCCATTAATTGTCGATGTTAAAGAAGAAGAAGAAGAAGAAGAAGAAGAAGAAGAAGAAGAAGAAGAAGAAGAAGTTACTACAACACAACAATTTGTCGCTGGCTCGGGACGTACGTTGAAATTGGAACGATACAGAGAAGATTAGCATGGGCCCTGCGCAAGGGAAAAAAAAAAAAGGACATTGTCGCTGACCCGGGGTCTGCACTCTGGAAGTCCTGCATGCCTTTCTGATCTTTTTTCTGGGCATCACTTGGGCGTGACATCTCTTTTCAGTATGCCCCTGTTGATACCAGTGAGGCACGCTTGCATCGCAAATGTGCAGTTGCAAGTACGACACCCACCCTACGTGCTCAACAATATCAACTTCTTCTCTCTCTCTCTTTTTTTTTTTTTTGCGTGTCATCCTTGAGCAGGGGCAATGCTAATATTCTGTGTATTGTCCCAATTTTGACGGATGTCCCAAAGGACCAATGATGCCGACACTGCTCCTTTCTTTTGGCTGTTTCGTTGCGGACGCAGATCATGCATCATCAACCACAAATGGGGTTTCTGCTTGTGCTGTTCTGCAAGAGAGAGGTTGGAGGATTGGGAGGTGTGGGGATGAATCAATCTGCTTCCCCAACTGGCATCAGCTTCTTCGAGTGCCATGTAGCCCGTGGTGGCGAGCAACAGCCGAGCAACATCAGCTCTCAGAAGAATGAGTTCATAGCCTATCAGTTCACAACAGAGGTAACCACTGCAGCACTCAAAAATTCTTCAAAGAAACAGTCATCAAGGCATTCATCACCAAAGCTGGGCTCTGTGTGTGGTGACGCTGGAGGCGCTCTGATTGGCCGCTTTCATCCCATCCTTGAGAATGGCAAGAAGGCCTGCGAGGTCGAGTCGGAGATGAAGGCAGGAGCTGGCCAGAAGAAGAAAGCAATCGATGAAACGATCGGTGCTAGAGAGAAGGTAAAGTCAGTCCTCCGTAAGATCTCCGAGAAGTGCGGCATGGAAGAAGTGATTACTTTGCCTATGGAGGACGAGGAGGACAATGAGGGGGTAGAGGAGGGTCAAGCATTCATTTGTGGTGGAGAAAAAGGCAGACACGAATCGTCACGATGGTTTGCGTTGTTGTCAGATGTGATCGCACATGACAGTGGCAAAGGGGAACGGCCATCGCCCAAAGGGGGAGGAGGGGATGCGATCCACAGGTGTCAAAGTGGACGCTCACCTACTTTCTCTCCCTCTCTTGGACAAATGGACGATCCTCTGCTCAGCAAAGAAGGCGGGAGGGGCATGCAATTGCAAGAACCTCCAGATGAGGCGGACGGCGTGCCGTTGCATGAGCTGGAAAGGGGCAGCATGCAAGCCAGTAGCCCCCATGCAGAACAGGGGGAAGAAAGTGGTGCTGCGAGGTTTAGACCGACGTCTAAGGGAGAGGGTTTTCATCCGGAAGTTGTGAAGGCATGGCTGCAAAGTGCAGAAACCACAAAACTCCAGGAGGAGGGCGGGGAATACTCTACAGGGAACCGTGATTTTCGGGGTTGGCAGTCTTCTTGTCGGACATCGTTGGACTCGTTCTCATTCCCTGTCCTTCAAGACCAGAAGATGGAGGGCAAGGAGACCGCAACAAACATGAATTCCCTGCAGAATGCATGGATGGGAGGGAATCGGAAGCTTGAGGAGCCATGCTCTGGGTTGCCTGTGGAAGAGCACAACCAGAATCCAAACAGCCCTAAGAGGTTGATAAGCAGTCCTCAAGAGGGATACCCATTTAAGAACCCTGCAGAATCAAAGGGATGGGTCGAGGCAGACAACGGTGCCGACAAATTTCCCAGTCATGATGCGCGGGGTGTAAAAGGACCAAAATCACCTACGTTTTCCCGTTCCCGCTCGACATGTGACCCTCTGGGTGAAGACTTGCCTGGAACCCACTCGGGAACTGGCATGATTAGAAAGGAGATGATTGGCCAGAACACTGACCTTCCGCATCAGGTAGAGGGTGTGTTTTTGTCTCATGCACCCGTGACGGACCGGGGGTTTCCTGCTGATGATGATGACAACAGAGGGAGACTTTTGTGGCTGCGTGGTGATGCGCACGTGACTGCACACAGAGGGAGACTTGAGAGGAGCTCAGCAGCTGCTATGGGGTCTGTTGTTCATCGACCGAAAGAATCGGCGCAAACAATTTATCCTGGTAGTAATGGGATGGTCAAGCCACAGATGCCCAAGGGGTCAAACAGAGGCTTACAGTATGAAAGAGACACCAGGGATATGGAAGAAGGCATTGACATCGACAAGAAGAATGCCGTAGGAGAAGGGGGTGCCATGTGTGGTTCTGGAAATAGTAGTACCGCCGAAGTTGACCGCGAAACTGGAAGACTGAGGGGTGGTGGTGCTCTCTGCAGTGAAAACGGGGCGGGTTCAAGTAATGGAGAAGAGGAGTTGGCAATCTCCCAAAAAGACCTGGTGGCTCAACACAACCTGTTGATGAAGATGATGCAGAAGCAGGTACAATTGCCTCTCTACCTGTCCTGCTGATGTACCCCTTTTTCGCTTAAACCACCAGTACACCGGGGCCTGGAGGCACCTTACTACGCGCCAAGCCTTTCCGAACCGCTGGTGCCACCAGCCATCGTGGTCTGGTAGGCCGAACCTCAAATTTTTTTTGTAGGTGATGAGTTTCTTTTTCAGCACGGCTGGAGCCATATACTGGTGGTTTCATACTATTAATCAAGGTCCATCAGGATTTGAACTCAGGTGAGTCAGGCCTATATTTTAACAGCTCATTGGGTGTACCAACTGAGCTAGTAGGCTGGTTCGTACAATTTGCTCTCTAGCTCTGCTGCTAATGTATCCCTCCTTTGAACTCAGGTCTATATTTTAACAGCTGATTGGGTGTACCAACTGAGCTAGTAGGCTGGTTCGTACAATTTGCTTTCTAGCTCTGCTGCTAATGTATCCCTCCTTTTTCTTGGGTGTGTGTGTGGGGGGGGGGGGGGGGGGGGGGGGGGGGGGGGGGGGGGGGGGGGGGGGGGTCCGTAACATTTATTCATTAGCTAGGGTTTAAACTCTTGACCTGTTTCATCAGTGGTTAGGTGCGTACCATACAGCCACAGCTAGGCAGATGTACTCCTGTTTGAACGCTTGAGCTGTTGGATCTGACACCTCTTTTTTTTCACTCTACCTACCCTGAGCTATGTAATTGGGTTTAGGGTCCTAGACTACAGAGTGAAGCCATCAGTCTTAAATGCACTAAGTAGACCTAAGCTATCCTAAGGTTATGGGTCTATGCCTACCTACCTAACTCTGCTCTGTGCGGGGGAGCAGAACCCAAGGTCCCGAATGCCGAACACCTGGTGCGGGGTGGAAAGTGAACATCTCACTCCTGAAGCTTGAGTTACGATGATTTCAAGCTGTGGGAATGATCCTAAGGCATGTAGAGGACCAGACCTTCCATCCGAACGTCACAATAGCTGGCCTACTATGTTGTTTCCCCCAACATGACTCCATATGATCATTGCTGTGTACAGACTCTATTCTGGCCAAATAGGGTCGTGATAATAGAGAGTTATGTTCCCTGGGGAACATGCCAGCCTACTGGTTTGTCCGACAAGTTCACAGCCTCAAGAGTTCACTAAGGTGAGGTGAGCGAGAAGCAAAGCTCTTTTTCTCTGAGTCGTCCGACATTTGGCACCATCAACCAGTTAGTTATTTGTCGTCTAATGAGTCTTCATGTCATGGAATTATTGAATTTCATTCAGATGATTAGTATATGTAATATGTATGCTGGGCTATTTTTGCATGTTCCCAGTAAGTGTGATTTCTTTGGGGGCGTAAGTAGGGCCATATCAGGTCAGCATAGCTGCTGTTTGAAGATTTGCTGTGTGTGTTTTTCTGTAAGTAGTCGTGTCTCTTAACCGCGGTCAGTTGACACAGGTAACCGGAGCCGTGTAATGGTCCCAGTATCGTGGCACTCTGCGCAGACTGTGTGGACCCTGTCTCTTATACACATCTAGATGTGTATAAGAGACAGGGAMGGGGAGGGCGGAGATGGCGGCACAGAATCTGCCCTTTTCCAGAGAGAAAAATCTGAAACAAAAAAAAGTTCAGAACGAAAGTGCTGGTCATGGCACTTAACTCGTATACTTTTGTCTTTGCAGATGGAACTGCTGGAAAGGTGTTTGGGAACAAGTGAACCTTGTCCCAGTTCAAAGGTGTCGACCGCAACGAATACTTCCTTCATCTGGGTGCCACGACTGCAATTGATGCCCTCGCTTCAGGAGGAATCCCCACCATGTCCTTCTCAACCTTACTCGTTGTCTCCGTCTGCCAATGAAAAAGCGAAAATCGACACGTCGGTTCCAGGTTATCATTTTGACCCTTCGCTCATCCGGCATCCACTGGCAGTTAGCCAGCGGTTGTCACTACAGCTGCGCGAGGATCAACACCCTGTCGACAATTGGGGACAAGACCGGCAAGGAGTCAGTCCTACCTTAGGCAACAGAGGGCCAGGGGGGGGGATTGACTTGCCAGGTAGGGCAGTCTTTCGTGTGGGGTTCGGCACAGTCAATGACGAAAGGGATTTGGCAGACGGGGAAGAGACAGGTCAGGAGTGGCAGTCGGGAATCCGAGAGAAGGACGGCGACACGATGGGGAAGGCGGTTGATGGCGATTCGAGAGGCCCAAGTGCAAAAGAGACACCGCATGAAGGGGACAGCCTCGATCACAGGGCATTCGCAGCAGATGGGACTGGCGGAGATTGTGGAACAACAGATGGCGTTCGAAGCGATGCAGCGGGACGAGCGAAAGAACTGGCAGGCCTAAGTGATGGGGACCTTATGTTTGCTTATCAGAAAGTAGGCGATTCCGCACAAGCACGAAAACAGTCGGACTGTGGTGCAACTTCTCCACGAGCCTTACCAAACGCGACCGGGGGTGGCAAAGCTGGACTGGCACATCACCCTGCGGCAGTTGTTGCTGCTATTAATGTGGGAAAGACGGAAGCAGTGCTGCAGCTGGAGCAGCAAAGTGTAAAGGGTTTACCTGTGCCGAGCTCAGCTTCTGCCAACCCTTCCCCAGGATGTGTTGAAATGATGGCTGGCTGTGACATCTTCAGAAGGGACCCTCCGCAACCAAGCACTGATTCGCCAGCAGAGGTCCTGAAGCAATGTGCTTGTTTACCCTCAGAGACGATACCTCCCGAAGGTCGAGATGAGGAAATAAGAGGAGGAACTGCTGAGAACTCCGCTTATTCCAGAGAAGTGGGGAAACATTGTGCCATGATGTATACCGGGGATGGCACAGAAAAGCAAGAAAACGGGTCGCCACACTATGAGAGAGATTTTGAAAACAGCATTCAGAACAGAGCTGGATGTGATCCGACACTGAGGGTCCTTAAGAAATCGATTGAGAGAGAAGTGCGTTTGCACACGCCGATGTTCACAGATATCCCTCGGATTATTGATGTGTGCTTCTCTGACAGCGAGTATGATTCCAGCTCTTCGGATGAGGTATTTGGGTGCAAATGCACAACCTGGGTTTTCTTTGCTTTAACTAAACAAGTCCTTGCTTTCTCCCACCACAGCTCAAGCCACATGTTTTTGTTTTGCTTATTCAGCTCTTGACCCTTCTCCCACTGCAGCCCAAGCCACATGTTTTCGCTTTGCTGACATTGCCAGGCTTTAAACCCACTACTACCTTCTTAACCCGAAAAAAAAGTATGTACGTTCTATTTGAATTACCTTCAAAAATCAGACTTTTAGAAATCACTCTTTTTTTTCCGAATAGAATGTACGGACAAATACAACGTACGTACGTTGTATTCGAATACAATGTACATATGTTGTATTCAAATTTTTACAATTTTGTGCTTTTTTAAAAATATTCAGAAAAGTGGTAAAAAATCCGAAAAATCCGGAAAAAAAAAGTTGTACAACAATGCAATACAAACAACTTTTGCCTCCTGAGGGTCTTGTCGAAATTCACAACCAAATTCAAGGGGAAAAAAAAAAACGAGGATAAAAATATTTTTTACGGCAGGGACAGTCTGTTCACTGATTTTTTCAGAACTTTGATTTTCAAAAAACTTCATTAAAGAATCCGTAAAAAAAGTATGTTGTACAAAATTGCCACGCAAACAACTTGTGCCTAAGGGTCCTGGCGAAATTCCTAGCCAAACTCGAGATAAAAAAAAACAAAAAAAACGATAGCGGTACTATAGGCTTCTGAAAAGTTGTACCCTAAAACTCGTTATATGACGTACGCACGTTGTATTCGAATACAACGTACAACGTACCCCGTACGTTGTATTCGTATACAACGTACGTACTTTTTTTCGGGTTAAGAAGGTAGTACCTCCGAGCCCGTGTTTGCCAAGCCTGGGTCCCACTCCATTTACTTTTCTCGTACTCTCAAGGAAAGAACAACAACCAAAAAAAAAAAGGTGGCGGCCGTGAAACTCACAAAAGAAGGCGGGGGGGGCGGGGAAGAAACAAAGCTTTGGCCGTGAAATGCAGTTGTATACATTCTTGGAAGTGGTAGTGTGAGTGTGCCCTCAGTGACGGCGTATCAGCCCCGTGGGCAGAGTGTCAGTTCAAGAAAGACACAGAAAAAAAGAAAAAAGGAAACATGGTTTTGGCCGTGAACTTGGCTGGATACATTCCTCTAAGGGCCAGTGTGATCACGGTTACAAATTACAATCCTTCATGGAAACAGAGCTTGAGAAGATCAGGGATTCCACCCTGCCTTGCTAGCAGGGTACTGGTAAGAAGAAGAAAGAAAAAAAAGAAAATAACATCCACAATCTGACCCGTTTAGCTGTATGATTCATTTTGTGGAGGACTACTGTGAGCACGGCCTCGTAGGCTACCCTGCTCAACATCATTGCAGTAGAGAAGTGTCTTCTTCTTCTTCTTTTTTTTTTTTTTTTTTTTTTTTTTTTTTTTTTGGTTTCACGACCGGGCAATGTAAAACTAAACTTTATATTCTTCATGCCGATCCTCTGGGAACTCCGAACTTTTTGGGGGAAATGGGAAAACTGCCAGGTCATTATCGCTGCATCTAGACAGAAAACTGCTCCAGATATGGCTATAATGACCGGGCGTTCTATTCGGGTGAAGACGGTAGTGGTTTAAGTCCCTAACTAAACTACCGTAGTCCTTTCCTTCACCCACCACAGCGCAAGCAACCTGTTTTTGTTTTACTTATCGAGCTCTTGAACTGGAAGACATACTACTCTCTGGCAGTTTTTTTTCCATTTTTCACCCCTTGGTCGGTATACTGAGGGTGAACCTACAGAACCTCTTAAACCCTAAACCCAGGTTCTGACTCCTCAGACTCTGCTGAGTTGCCGTTTGAGTTCTGTGGGCCAGGGTTGCACTAGGTGGGTGCCACTGGGGTTGTAGTCAGGGTCCCTCGACTGTAGCCCCGCTTAGCTTTTCCTTTGTTTTTTTTTTTGTTTTTTTTTTTTTAAACTTTTTTTTT